TACACTGACATTTATACATCAGAAAATACTCTCACCAATAATTGGACAGCTCTTTTCTAGTACATCAAACTCTGAAATTAGTTAGATCAATATTAGGTAGTTATAATTACAGTTATAATGTCAAGATATTTGTTGCCTTTTTTTTAAACAATTTCTAACCAGTGGTGGTAGAAATCGTTCAAAATGTTGCTTAAGTAAAAATACAAATGAATTAGCATAAAATACACTTAAAGTACAAAAAGTAAAAGTTGTGATTTTGCGTAATGGCACAGGTCACTTTCATGTATATCATATTATTTGACTATAATTATTGATGTATTATTGTATACATCAAATTTGATGTTACACCTGGTAAAAGTAGAGCTAATGTTAACTTTCTTATATACTTATACTTTGAAGTGCTTTACATATTGCTGAGTAGCTTGTGAATTTTCCACCAGGGGTGCTTCCACACACTGTGGGTGGAGCAGCCTTTCCTTGAAGGTGTTGCTCAGGGCACTCAGGGTGTCCTGTGAGGGATGTGAGGTGTTTAGTTTTTCCATAAATAGTTCAGTAAACTGAATAATTCGTAAAAGCACATCCACTCTGTCTCCCTTAAATTTGTTTAAAAAAAATCCAGGACTTAAAGCTACAGTATGTAACTTATTGTAGCACTAGCATGAAACTCCAAATCCCTCCACTCTGCTCCGCCCAGCACTCCCTCTTCCTGGTCCACTATGCTCTACTATAATCTGCTCCGCTCTGCCCAGCTATTCAGATATCTGTCATTATGAAATTAGCAGAAATGAGAATGCAGCAAAACTTACCGATCAAGTGAGATGTTGGTGGTTTGACTCCAACCATTGCACTTATCGCAGGTGTCTCCCCTGTTTCCTGCTCCATGATAAACTTAATAAATAAAGGTTAAAAGAGAAAATTGAAAATCTCTGATTGGTTAGAGAGGTCAGTCCCACTCAAAACCTTTTATAAGCTAATACTGTATCTCTGCACTGCTGCCAATCTTGTTCAATGAGTCTGGGTCACAGGAGACTTCGACAGCACTTCTCCACATTAAGACAAGTTCTGGAGCATGTTTCTGCAAGAACAATATTTGAAAAAAGTTACATTCTGTAGCTTTTGGAATATGCTAATATAGATAGTTTTAAAAGTTGAGCTGGACATAAGATGTTTCAGATGTCCATTCTCATTGCTCAGCTGAAAATTTTAATGCAAGTTAATCAGCTCCCTTTGCATTTATATACCAGGTGAATGTGAGTGGTTGAATATTGGCCATATTTCTTACTAACCACACCCACTGGCCAAAATATGGAGGCAGTTTGTAACAGATGGCAGAGAAACTGCCAGAGCTCTGACAGTACAGCAAAACAGTGAGTGAGATTTTCTTTATTAAGTCTTTATCATATGAGCTTTCAAGTAGTGTGTGTGTGTGTGTGTGTGTGTGTTTGTGCGCATATGCAATGTGAATGCCAGAGATAACCCTGAGTGCAGCCAAATCACAAATCTGACCACCATAGAGGAAACCGGACTGACCTCTAGGAAACTGGTTGGCACCTTTAATAGACCATTTAATCTCAGCCGCTGCTGATGTTAGGCAATGCTCCACCAGGAAAGAAACCTTTATCGTTTTGAATGTTTGGAGCTATAAAAAGGTTTGTGTATGTAATGATTTAAGACCTTATAATACCAGCATTTAAACTTGTGGTATTCTGCAGCTGAGTTTCAGCTGAACCACTAACACATGTGGATCAATAGTGTGCGATCTTGACAGCTGACTTCTACAGTAGAGTGTTAGCTTGTCTACAGGGTCACCACCCCTAACAGATCCCCTGACCAATCACCAGCAGCTTGAAATAAAACTGTCTGGTTTGCAGACTTTCCATGTGAATGCAGCAGCACATCAGTATTTATAGTAGCTTCTTAGAACAGCAACTTACTGTAAGAGAGAAGGGTTAGTGTGTGTGTGTGGGGGGGTTGTAACCAGATCTCAGAGGACAGAAGGACAGAATTAAGATGACTCTGTCACCACTCTGTTTATCACACACTCCAATTCATATGCATCATAAAGGAAACAGGAACAACTCTACATAGTAAATATAACACTTTTATTGTGTGATATAGTACAGGTAAAAACACCAGCATGCAGACAAAATCACCAGATATTTGAGTGTAGTGTTGATGGATGCTGAAACTCTGACCTTATAAGAAAAAGGACAGAGTTTGGTGAGACAGTTTGGATGGTTTGTTAAGGCTTCAGGGGTCTGTGAGATGGGGTAAATAGTCTTTTAGAGGTCCTTTTATTGGTTCCTAAGGTGGTCTCAGAGGTTCATTTGGTTCTTGTGCTGTTTGAGTGGTCCTTCGCGGGGTTCTAGAGCTTTTAAATAGTGCTCTGCCCCAGTGTAAAGTTTAACATGGAGGACATACTCACAATATGAAAAGTGAAATCATGTCAGCTAGAGATGGTGTACTTTAGTTGGTCCTGATTTATTGTGATCACCTCTGCCTGTGCCAGCGTGAAAGCAGCACACCTGATCACAAACCACCGGTAAAACACTTTTGTGATGTTATGAACTACTGCTGACCAATCACAGCGGGTTTAACGGGTATCTTTTAGTTACTGAACCAACTGCAGTCTATGTAAACTAATCAGTGACTTTCACTAATTTCTTAAATGATCACACATAGATCGCCACAGGGTTACACAGCCCTTCCCCTTTTGAAAACACTATAGTATATACCATGAAGTAGAGATGCTGTACTCTTTTGTACTAACAGGATAATTAAACTGGCTTTGACTGCCAATACAAACTACTAAGTACTGCCACTAAAACTGTGACATAGTAGGCTGACAAATAACTTTGTTTGCAGGAATCCAGATGTATTTTTAAAGCATTACACCTTCACGGTAACTATATTATTGAGGGTAAAGCTTATATTTTTGTAGGCTGACCAAGCTGATATGTTGCACCATCTTTAAATATAGACATGAATCTGTATCTTAAATGACCTTTCAGCCAACAACAGCTGATCCAGACAGTGATGTGAGCTGTTGTGTGTCCAGCTACATGTTTGATTACAGCAACATGTTGTGTTAGGCTGTTCTGAATTTAATAATAAGTTGCTGTGATAAATGAAGACACTGACTCACAGCTCTGCTATATGAGGATAAACTTAGAGAGCAGCAGTATGACACACAACTAACCCACAGCTACAGCCCAATGTCTGTCTGAAAACGTACATATAGCTCGCTTGGCCTGGTTAACTTGCATATAAATTAAACCAATGCAATTCAGTTTCAATTAACTAAGCTTTACTGGCATGACCATTTACATATACAGTATTGCCAAAGCATTAGCATTCCAATTACAAATATATAAATACATTAGCAAGCATCATTATTAATAAAAAATACAAATTATTTATATAGGTAGTTAAGTAAAATATTATAGAAAAATGACTATATAAGATTTTGCAATGTACAGTAGGAAAAAAAAGAAGAAAAATTATATATAGAAATCCAGAAAGTGGAAAAGAAATCTCTGGTGTTTGTTTCAGGTCATTAATTACAGATGGAGTGTGTTTTTTTGTTGTGCTGTTTCTTGTTGTGTTGGTTGTCCCTTAGGTTGTGACATGTATAGACACATTTTGCAAACCTGAACCAAATCTCTCAATCTCTTTTAATCAGATCAACATTTAAACTGTCAGAATTCCTCATCTGCAAGGGTTATAATTCAGACAACATGGGTAACAACGGGTTATAGTGAAATCACACCAGAATAGAATGGGTTATAAGGATAAGGTCGACTTTGTTCCTGGAACTTACTCATTCAACACATAGCTTCCAGAGCACTGAACTGGACTTTGCATTAAGGTCATTATTTGGTGTCCATTGTTTTTCTTTCACATTACCATTTATCTTTTGTTTGTTGACAAAACATTTAATGCATTTCATTTAAAGATCACTTCTTATTTAGTTTTGTCATAGTTTTATTGATCACTGGACAGATGGACAAAATAAAAAGTTCCCACTCCTCCTCATAAGGGAAGATTATGTTGCTCTTGGTATAAAGCACCCGCACCATGTTGTTATTGAAAGTATTCTCTGCATGGATTCTACAAGCTGTGGGTATAAAAATACACAGACAGAAGAAACACTGCACACTTCTTCTTCATCGGATCTTCATTGGTGCACTGTGTATTTTCATGTAATACCTCCTCATACTGTATGTAACTGGTAACAAATAGTTTTATGTTTGGCCTCCTGCTTCAGATTCATCACTTTCTCTTAATCAACCTCTCTCACACACAATAATAAAATAATGTGTTGTCTTGTTGGCTTTAAAATGTGTACTGTACATAATAGTAAAGTATTTCCTGCAACACACATCTTTTCTTCAATGTTTAGCAGCAGTTTTAATTTGTAATAGTTGTGTATAGTGTGATGTGTTCAGTATGACCTTTGGTTCACCTTGGCTCCCTGAGTAAGTGCACTTTCTACCTCCTTAAATCAAGATGAAACAGTTAAGATGACTCTGTGTCAGCTGTACATGTGGACTCATTATGTGAACCTCTCATCCACCTTCTCTCGTTATTTTTCTCTGTGTTACCTCTCTCTCTGCTGGAGGCAGAGAGATCAGCTGTTCAAGTTTCCAGGTTGAAATGGCATAAATATCAGAGTGAGATGGATTTGTTTTTGCCAAAAAACTGTCTGTGTCAGTCAGCAATATATTTGCTGCTTATATTCCTCAAAGTCTGGAAAAGGGGTGAAAAAGGCTGTGTGTCAGAGCATCTGAAGAGTTGAGCAGTTGTTCTGGCTGAGGTTTAGCACCAAACCCAGGTGCTGCATCTTTCCAGGAATTTATGTTAAGTCGTTTTTGAAAGGACATTATCTACTTTTTAAAGAGATGACCTGCCACTACTACTGACACCCAGAACTAAAGAGCACTCAAATCAGTAAAAGTCATTGTTTGAAATTCTCATTCTCATTCTTTCTCTGTTTCCAGGAAGTGGGTGTAGCACAGCGGGCAGGTCACTGCAGAGCCTGATAGCCACCACTGGTCCCTCGGTGATAATGAAACCGTTCCTGTCATTCCCTGTTGAGACATCGTCGCCAGTTGGACTTTTCCCAAACTTCAGCACGGTGTGTGTGTGTGTGTGTGTGTGTGTGTGGGGGGGGGGGGAGTGTTGCAGCTGCAGCCAGTACAAACTGTCTGTGACAAACCAACCTGTCATTGTGCCAGCATCACTCAGTCATCACTGTTCAGTCCATCCTGAGCAGCCCGGTGACCTGTGACTTTTGTGTGTCTCCCACAGATGGACCCGGTACAGAAGGCCGTCATCAACCACACTTTTGGCGTTACCATGGTACCCAAGAAGAAACTGATCATCACCTGTAATGTCTGCCAATTGAGGTTCAACTCTGATGTAAGTGTGTGTGTTGTAGTGTTTGGTTCATATGTTTCAATGATCAACCTCCACACTTTGGTCTTGCTGTGACCAAAATGTATGAAGCTTTTCTGAAATTCTCTTGTTTGCTGTCTTTCATGAGAAGATGGTTATCAGTTTCATCTTTGTGTGGGTAGTCTTGTACAGACAAGGATGGATTACTATACAGGCCCCTGGACTTCATCTGAAAAAAATCACAGAAAGAAACACAAAACTCCAACGAAGAGAGAAAATTACCACAAAAAAGACACAGCAACTACAAAGAGTTTTAAAACAACCAGACTGAAACTCATCATGACTACAAAGAGGGAAAAATTACCACATAGAAACACACACACACAAAACCCAAAAGACAAAAATGACATCTATTTCAGTCTGGGCAAGGGGTGCCTTTTCCCAGCAGAACAGCAGTCCAAACCAGAGGTGGGACACAGCGTTCTGCATCAACTGTGACGCAGCCAAAACAACAATGGTGGGAGAGATAAGTGCAGATGTAGCTTTGTTGGAGTGTCAAGCATTTATTTCACTTCACACAAAATTGGTTAGCGTGTTTCTTGCTATGTGTATGAATGTCATGAGTAATAATTGTTTGTGACATCAGAAATGCTTTGACTTATAATTTAGAGAGATGCCAAGAACAGTTTGAAGCAGAGTGGTGTGCAGACTTGAGACACCAGTAATAGTTTTGCACACATACACCAATCAGCCATAACATTATGACCACTGACAGGTGAAGTTACAGTGGCACCTGTCAATGTTTGGGGTATATTAGGCAGCAAGTGAACATTTAGTCCTTAAAGTTGATGTGTTGGAAGCAGGAAAAATTGGCAAGTGTAAGGATCTGAGTGACTTTGACGAGGGCCAAACTGTGATGTCTAGATGACAAAGCATCTCCCACCCTGCAGGTCTTGGTGGGTGTTCTTGGTCTGCAGTGGTTGGTACCTACCAACAGTGTCTAAGGAAGGACAAATGGTGAACTGGTGACAGGGTCATGGACACTCACGGCTCACTGATGATGAGGTTGACCTACTGTAGATTAAACTTTTAACTTCCGTTTGTACTTTTCAAAAGATTCAAATTTATTTGACTGTTAAAATGGTTGAAAATGAGAAATACTGTACATTGGTCTGTATGAAGAGAACGAGTCAGGGGCTGTAGTGGTGATATCACACCTAGAGTGGTGAGGCTGTTGAATGTGTCTAAAAAATTCCCTCTAACTCATCCTCATGACCAGTTTTCACTCCTTTGTCACAAGTTTGTCACTTAATTGTAGACACATCTGTGTCTAGACCGAATTCTGAAATCAAAGTCAGAATTCTAGAATGTCAACATTCTAGGATGTTGACATTCTAGGAAGTCGACATTCTAGAATTCTGACTTTGATCTCAGAATTTCAAAGTCAGAACTCTGACTTTAAACTCAGAAGTCTGGATACCTGTAAGGATCCAAGTTCAGTGAGTGAGAGAGTGGCTTTGAGTCATGCTGGAGAGGAACTATGTGCTGCCCAAAAATGGGATTTAAGTGAGTTTTTGAGTGGTCGAGGAGTCCTAGAGGAAGCTATTTCATTAATGGACGAGGAAAAGGTGAGTGAAAAAGACATGTTCGTTTTTCACTGAATTGCAGACACATCTGTGCTCTTTCTGGCAGTATAACTGTGGAAGCAAATGGATTCACAGAAGATGCACAGTGAGCTGCAGAGTGACATGAGTGCCAACCAACTGCCACATTGACTCCTATGTAAACAGTATTAGGCAGGTGGTCATAATGTTATGGCTGATTGGTGTATAACATCATCTAATCACAGCACTTGGTTCTGGACATGCTGGTTCAACCTTTTTTACACAGAGTGCATCTCCCCTTGGTTTCCTCTCTGGTAGTACCTCCCAAGGCAGACCAGAGGTGGAAGGAAAATGACCCGCTATTCCAGCTTTGCGCCTTACACACAAAAAATGAGACAGAATTAAAGGTGCCCCAATCCTGCCTTGAAAAGGGAGTGTGTAAGGGGCTATAATCTGTCCATAGCACATAGTTAATCTCAGAGTCTGGAAGTGCTCATTTAGCTTCATACAAAGTGAAAAATGCACCTTTGAGCAACTCCAGTGCTTTGATTTTTAACAACTTTAAACTACTTTATCTCTGGCTGTACAGAGATGGCATTGATATACATCTTTTCTTCTGAGGAACTAGGAAAGATAGACAAGTGAATTTTACAAAAGATTGGATTGCTCCTTTAACATACATCTTGGTTGCTTGTTTGCTAATGAGCCACTATCTTTGCAAGATAATGTTAGCTTGCAAATGAAAGTTCATTAGCTACTACAACTTTAACTTTGGGAAATTAACTAAAATTGTTTTGAATGTCAGAATATAATTTAACATACAGTGAGGCTCTAAACGTAACATTTAGTGTGCTAGCTAAAACTAACATAGCTTGGTGTAATTGCTGATTATTGCTGTTGTCATCATTACGTTTTTAAAACTAAAAATGATCAAAATTTGCTGTGTTGTCTCAGCAGTTTTGCTTTTGCAGGAGGTTAGCAGTTTTCCATAGTTTTGCATAGCTGGGCTAAATACACACCTACCTCACAGACCTGAAACTAATTGAAGTTGATGTTGGACTGTTCCATTAAGTTTTTAAGAGACTTGTTTCGTTTTGTGTAGGTGTCTGTCAGGTGTTATACAAAACAGCAGGTGTGTGTAATCAGGTGTATCATCTACCACTCCCTGCCATACCATACATACACCCTCATTCACTTAATGCTCAGTGCTAACGAGCTGCCTTGTTAGTGACGTGCCAATCAATCATGACTAATTTATGAGCTGGTAAAATTATTTATGAGTGACCATCAAAATAGGAATCACTGATGAGGAAAGGAGACATGAAACAAGGAGATGAGAGAAATAAGAGAGGAGAGTATTATATCTAATAAGCTGAGTAATGGATGAAGCATGAAGATTCCACACACTCACATGAGGACAATGTTAATCTGGAGGTTTGTTACAATGTATTAACAAATTGTGGTTAATCTAGGCTTGTTACACTGTGTGGTGACACATAGCACGAACAGTTTTTAGTGTAGAGATCATCTCTTCACTTGAACTGTTCATACAGCGCATCACTATTCAGGCTTTTATGTCCATCTGTGTCCTTAAACTGTGGTTCTCAAATGCCCTCATACACGCAGACATGACTGTGTAGAAAAACCTCATTAATGCAGGTGTAAATTTGCAGTGATTATTATAATCAAAATGCAGTTCACAAGTCCAATCCAGGCAACTTCAGGAGGTGATGAGAGTAATTTTCTGCAAAGGATGAATCTTGAAAACCTTTGTATTGTATCTTGTAGTTTTTGACTGTATTACCCAGCTGCAACTCAGAGCATATTTGATTAGCCTTCTGGTCAAGTCACATACAGTGGTGTGAAAAAGTGTTTGCCCCCTTACTGATTTCTTATCTTTTTGCATGTTTGTCACACTGTAATGTTTCAGATCGTCAAACAAATTTATATATTAGTCAAAGATAACACAAGTAAACACATCATGCAGTTTTTAAATGAAGGTTTTTATTATTAAGGGAAAACAAAATCCAAAACTATAGAGCCCTGTGTGAACAAGTGTTTGCCCCCCTGTCAAAACACTGGTTTATCGCACCTGAGTTCAATTTCTCTTGCCACACCTGTTCGCAATCAAGAAATCACTTAAATAGGACCTGCCTGACAAAGTGAAGTAGACCAAAAGATCCTCAAAAGCTAGACATCATGCCGAGATCCAAAGAAATTCAAAAACAAATGAGAAAGAGAATAATGGAGCTCTATCAGTCCGGAAAAGGTTATAAAGCCATTTCTAAAGCTTGGGGACTGCAGCGAACCACAGTGAGAGCCATTATCCACAAATGGCGAAAACATGGAACAGTGGAGAACCTTCCCAGGAGTGGCCAGCCGACCAAAATTACCCCAAGAGCGCAGCGACAACTCATCCAAGAGGTCACAAAAGACCCCACAACAACATCCAAAGAACTGCAGGCCTCACTTGCCTCAGTTAAGCTGAGTGTTCATGACTCCACCATAAGAAAGAGACTGGGCAAAAATGGTTTGCATGGCAGAGTTCCAAGACGAAAACCACTGCTGAGCAAAAAGAACATAAAGGCTCGTCTCAGTTTTGCCAGAAAACATCTTGATGATCCCCAAGACTTTTGGGATAATACTCTGTGGACAGACGAGACAAAAGTTGAACTTTTTGGAAGGTGTGTGTCCCATTATGTGTGGCGTAAAAGTAACACCGCATTTCAGAAAAAGAACATCATACCAACAGTAAAATATGGTGGTGGTAGTGGGATGGTCTGGGGCTGTTTTGCTGCTTCAGGCCCTGGAAGACTTGCTGTGATAAATGGAACCATGAATTCTGCTGTGTACCAAAATATCCTGAAGGAGAATGTCCGGCCATCCGTTTGTGACCTCAAGCTGAAGCGAACTTGGGTTCTGCAGCAGGACAATGATCCAAAGCACACCAGCAAGTCCACTTCTGAATGGCTGAAGAAAAACAAAATGAAGACTTTGGAGTGGCCTAGTCAAAGTCCTGACCTGAATCCAATTGAGATGCTGTGGCATGACCTTAAAAAGGCAGTTCATGCCCGAAAACCCTCCAATGTGGCTGACTTACAACAATTCTGCAAAGATGAAGAGAAATTGAACTCAGGTGCGATAAACCAGTGTTTTGACAGGGGGGCAAACACTTGTTCACACAGGGATCTATAGTTTTGGATTTTGTTTTCCCTTAATAATAAAAACCTTCATTTAAAAACTGCATGATGTGTTTACTTGTGTTATCTTTGACTAATATATAAATTTGTTTGACGATCTGAAACATTACAGTGTGACAAACATGCAAAAAGATAAGAAATCAGTAAGGGGGCAAACACTTTTTCACACCACTGTATCTTATATTAATGTGTCAGGCCAAGTTTGGTTCAGAAGTGATGTAAAGGTAATTGCAGGTCAGTGAAAAGTTCCAAGCTGAGCTTTGCAGGTGCACAGGGAACCTGCAAAATTGGAAAGTTCAGGAGTCTTGGAAATATTTAACTACTTTGCAAATGTGTCAAAATGTTTTAATTTCAAATTGTTTGACTGCGTACAGACATAGATAAGTACACCTTTTTTATTCCTTCTTTTTGTAGCACCAAACATGACACAGAAAGCCCAGTTGTTATAGAGTATTTCATAGACTGCTCATACACAGGATTTAACAAGTCAGGAAAGTTTTCACTGTGGCAGCTGTGCTATGTTTTGTTTCAGTGATTGCGAGGTAAGCAGTAGGAGGCTCAAGGCTACCTTAGCTTCTACAAGCATAATGAACACAACTCACCTGATTCACAGATTGAACTCCTGGCAGTCAAGTTGCATTGTGGGTGATGTAGGCAACAGGTTTTTACAAGGACAAGAAATATGTGGTTTAAAAAAAGATTGCTTTGATTTTATTTATTTGCTGTAGCAGTGTATAAGTTCTCTTTTAACAATATGAGGTACTAACCACTGCTGTCATGGACTATGCTTCCTGATTTGTGTTCTGTTTTCCCCATCTCTTCCTATCGTAATCAGCCATTATTCCATTCACCTGCTGCTCATTATCTCCCGGCCCTGCCACATATAAACACACCCTCATTTCCACCTATTCTTTGCTGGATCGTTCACCACTACATGCCCTAAGCTTTGTTCCTATCTTCTTGTTTTGATGTTGCTACTCTACGTATTCTGTTTCTGCTACTCCACACTCATGTCATGTCCGTAAGGAAGCATACCCCAGCTCTGCATCTTTTAAGTTCACCTCCTGTACTTTTATCCTTTTTTGGTTAGATTACTAGATGAAATGCTCTCCACCCAGTGAGTACAGCCAGCACTCTTTTCCCTCCTTAACGCTTCTGTCTGTTTTGTTGGTGGGTGCATTAAGCTACATACCGCGCACACTTGGCATCTTCACTGGCAATGTCAATAAGCAGTCTGCCCCTGCAGTACGGTAGTCTCTGTTTTCCTGCTTTCAACCCGTCTGGCTATCATCACGACTCTGCAGTGTTCCTCCCGGCTTCTCCAGCAGCAGTCCCCCTGCCAGAACCTTTTGGTGTTTGTCTTCCTTGTCTGCTTGTTTCCTGCCATCCACCTGCCTACTCACCTCCACGTCCTGGTCCTCCTGGTTCATGACCGACCTGTCCCCAGTTCCCCACTGCTCATCCTGCCAGCCCAGAAACAGCTCAGCCTCTCGCTGCCCACCATAAACATTGTTCTTTAATAAATTCTTTCCTGGTTTCAAACCCTGTAAGGTCTGCTTATTTTGGGTCCAAATCACACACTGCCTGACATCAGGAACATATTGCCAGTGATGGAAACCCTGAATGGAGGATTGCATTGCAGTCTCAGGAACTATCGGAACAGTGGTTTGACAAGATGTAACATCAGGATTTTAGGTTTCTACATCCAGAAGACGGGGGGGAAAGCCCAAATAGGAAAATAAAAATTCTCTTTGTGTCTCCTACACAGTCTCAGGCTGAGGCTCATTACAGAGGCAGTCGTCATGCCAAGAAACTCAAGACTCAGGAGAACAAAGCCAAGGCCAAGCCGGCAATCACTGGAGAGATCAATGGGAGCAGTTCTAGTCCGGCTGGCCCCACCCCTCATGTCTCAGCTAACGGCAACACCAATCAGCACAGTTGAGTTATATACCAATAACATTAATCTACTAATACTGATGATGTTGTTATTGTGGGTGAGTTTGGTTGTAATATCACAGGGTGTGTTTCATTTCTTCTTCCTTTTTTCTTCTCTTCTTCTTTCACCTACTCATCCTCCTTCCAGAACTCTTATCCAGTTCCACTGACTCCTCTTCACTTAAACTCCTCCCCTCCTTCTGCCCTCTCTCCTCCTCCTCCCCCTCCTCTAGCAGAACAGGCAGTGAGCCTCCTCCCTCCAGTCCTCCCACAGCTCTCCCCGCCCCAGGCCTCTCTTTTTCTTCTTCTTCTTCCTCTTCTTCTTCCAAAGCCTCTCCTCCTCCTCCTCCTCCTCCAACTCCTATCACCTCCTCTTTATCCCCTGCTCCTCCTCCTTCCCAGGCCTCCTCCGAGGATGCTCCTCTGTCAGTGGAGTCAGAGGAGGAGAAGGCAAAGAAGCTGTTGTACTGCTCTTTGTGTAAAGTTGCTGTCAACTCTCTTTCTCAGCTGGAGGCTCATAATGCAGGTGAGGAGGAACAGGATAATGTATGGAAAGCCACCTGAGTCATATTTTGATATGCTCAATGAGGCTTTTTAGTCTGCAGGATGATTTTCATAGGAATGAGGTGGCTGCCTGTAAATCAATCTAAAAACTGATGAATGCTTTGGAAAAACGAGTGATGAGCTATATAGGATTTGTTACTAGGATAAAATATAAAACAACACTAAAAATATGTCTCTGTGGCTACAGCATTATCCAATACTCACACTGACAGAAGTTTATCATTATCTTGTATCTTATTTCACAGAAGACGATTTCTGTGTATCTCTTTCGTCAGGTTCAAAACACAAGATGATGTTGGAGGCTAGGAGCGGTGCTGGGCCAATCAAGGCCTACCCTCGACCTGGAGCCAAGCTAAAGAACAGCAGCAGCTCCAGACTAAAGGGCTCCGGTCTGCAGAACAAAACTTTCCACTGCCAGATCTGTGACGTCCACGTCAACTCTGAGATCCAACTCAAACAGGTAGAAACACAGAGTATGATAACTTCATGTTAACATTATACAAACTCAATCTGTTTTATTTCTGGAGCTAGTTACCAGGTCTTCATAAGTTCAGATATAGTCTAGGTATATACTTTAAGCTAGTTAACTTTTAGTTTAGTTAAGTTTATATAGTATATATATGTTATTTCATCATCAAAACAATTTGCACCACAAACACTAGTAGAGATTAGTTTAAAAAAATATATTTACACCCAGTAACTGCCTGGTCTTGATGTCGCATAGTTAAGTGAACAAGCAAAAAGCTAATGTTAGCATGCTAATATGTAGCCTGTTAGTGTAAAGACTAAATCCTATAATAATATTTGTTGACAAATTGTCCTAACCCTTGATCCAATGCTGTTTGATATAAACTGGGAATATTTTATATTACATTTCACAAAAAATGGAAGTTATGCTAAAGCTTGTGAAGCTACAGTACAGGGACTTCCTGTTTACAGAGCTGAGTGCTTTTGATTGGACAGCACTACAGATGTTTTTAGCAACCACATCTTACATTACAGCCATAGACGATACAGCTTGTCAGGTATTATCCCACACATGTACAGTGACATTAAACCACTTCATCATCTGTTAAGGAAATCCAAGCACTGTTGACCTGTTGACTATATACTAAAACTATGCAAATATAACACTGCATACTATAATATTTGTATCTCTTTGAGATTGAGGCTCTTCATTTTATTCAGCTGTTCAGCTCTGTCAATGAGTTGTCGTCCACCCCGCCCCACCCCCGCCATGTTTAAATTTTTTTTTTTTTTATTTACAGTACAGGCAGACCTTAGTTTTATTGTCATTGTTTATTATTGTTGTTGTTGCAGCACATCTCCAGCAGGAGGCACAAGGACAGAATGGCAGGAAAACCCAGCAAACCCAAATACAGCCCTTACAACAAACAACAGCGCAGCTCACTCACTGTAAGTGTCTCTCTCCCACTATCTCTCACATTCAAATTCAAATTAATTTTATTGGGATAACCATAATTTTGTTCAGTGTAGCACATGAGCAGATTTGAAACACTATTAGTAAATCAATGAATACATCAGACAAATGTTTCTGTAAATTAATAATAGGGAACTCCTCTGTCTTCCACTTGTTTCCTGTTCTTGTTTTCTCTCCTTGTATTGTCCTCTCTTTATTTTTCTTTTGTCCTGTTTCCCCTTCCTTGTATCCTCTTCTTTCCTTTCCTTGTCTTGTCTCATGGTCTCCTCACCTGGTTTCCTTGTTCTCTGATTTTACTCATTCTTGTTTCTTACTTCCTCTCCTCACATTATTCTCATCCCTTTTCTCATCTCCCTATCTTGTCTTCTGTCTTGCCTGTTTTTACTTTTTGTTTCTTACATCCTCTCCTTTCCTCTCATTGTTCCCTTCTCTTTTATCCTGTCCTTTTCTTGTCTCCCTGTCTCCTCTCCTTGTTCCCTGTCTTCATTCCTTTCCTCTCCTTGTCTCTTTTGCTTGTTTGCTATCTTCTTCTCTCCTTGTTTTCTTTATTTTTACATTCTCCTTGTCTCCTGTCCATTTCCTCCCCTTTTCACTACCTGTTTTGTTTCCTCTCCTTGCCTCTGCTCCTTGTCTCCTCTCCTCCTCAGAAGGAGCTAGTGAAGCCCTCCCTCTCTACCCCCTTCCTCCCCACTCCCTTCACTCCTCCCTCTTCCTCCCTCACCTCCTCTATCTCGCTCCCTCCCTCTTCTCTCTCCTCCTCTCCCTTCCTCAGTCCCACCTCCTCACCCCTCACCCCTGCCATCTCCCTCCATCCTCGCTCTCCAGCCTCCACATCCCTCTTCACTGCTTCTTTCTTGCGTCCGGCACCTGGACCAATCAGAGCAAGCCAAGGATCAATTCTCTTCACCCCCTACTGATGGCAGCAGTAGTGGTGGGGAGTTGAACTGGTGACCTTTAACCTCTGACCTCCTCTTTGTTGGAGCTACGGGGGACAGAAAGTCCAGAAGAGACATCAGCTCTGCCATCATGGCTGCAGCTGCAGCCTTCTCACCTGACTGAAACTTTGAAGAGAGACACTAAAGAGCAGAACTTCCTCCTTTTCCTCCCCTCTGGAGGAGAAATGAACATGTTGCTTTAAATGAACCACAGACCTGAACCCAACCAGAACCAGAGGCTGAAAGATTCTCATATATACCAGACTATGAAGATTTTTTATGAAGACATGTAAAAATCCTGAAAAAATTACAGAATGTCTAAAATTTTCTACAAATGGATCAGTGTGTGTTATCTTAAGTTGTCATGGTGATGCTCCAGAATCACCCAATAGAAAATTTCCGCGTTAAGGAAAATGAAGTGAATAAGGATATTTACATTTTTCTTTATGTGACCTTTTACCAGAAAGATCCCTGAAGTACTGTGTCATTTATGACAAATGACTGTTGGTGGCACCTGAATCTGCTGAAAAAGCTGGATTTTTGGTTTGATGAAAGGACAAGAACCAGAACCAGGTTTGAAGAGGAACTAGAATCAAGAAGCAGAATCTAAACAATGTCAACAATAACTGAACCTGCTACTGTTTCACTTGTGGTGAAGATACACTGGTGTAACTAATTAAATTTTCAGGCTAAAAATGCAGCTGGTGTTGACACCAGACATGAAGTTAGACAAGAATGTCTACACCTGGGACCCAGAACCCAGATCAGTTTGGACGGGGTTGATTCCCTGCAAATAAATTTCCTCTGAATACAGAAGCTTCTCCTCCTCCTAGCAGAGAAATCAATCAGCACAAACAAAATGGCAAAAAACTCAAGACGTCAGCCGTCACGAACAATACTACTGCAGTTGTCTTCCCATCATATTGACACTGGACCTGTGCCACAGCTGTCCTCCCTCAGACCCTCAGGCTCCTGCTTCCATGGTTGACTCTTTCCTGACATGCAGTATCTCAAGCACACACACTGAAGAGAACTTCAATGATAAGGCTGGTGGGTTTTTTCTAATTGACAACAAATCCCAAAAAGGCACCCTACCCATCTATAAAATGGTTTGCCTACCATGAAAAATCTCTGAAGGCTCTTTTAAACTTTAAAGAAATATATAATTTAGTGTTTCAAATAATATTTTTGTTAATGTCATCTCTCTACATTCTAGTCTCCGTGTTTTTATACCCTTCCAGCCAAGTATGTAATTCTGGTGGGCACTAAAATATTTAATTGTGATTTATTATATTTTGCCTAAACATGTTTTAATATATTTAGATTAACAAAATACCAAAGGAGCTTAAAAATACTAAAATGTTTAATCATCTAAAATTCCAAAAATAGTACATCACCTCTGTGTCTTCAGTGCTAAGTGGGAATACACCATATTTACCCTTTAATGCAAACATGTTTTAACTGTAACACAATAGGCCCAACACAATGATAGGAGTCTAAACTAGCTACACATTTTCTTTTTATTTTATAGCTACATAAAATCCAGATTAAAATCACTTTTAATATATCTGCTTCTTAATCCCCAAATAATCCAATAAACCTTAACAAAGTTACATCAGGGTTTATTCAGGACAGTTTGTTGCTCGTCCTTGCCTCCTGCTGTATTTTTGGAACTGAAATATGAGTATTCAAACTCTTCTTTCTCTTTATATCTGATGTCCACACGTCTGCCTGCACCTGATGTTAGGACTCTGGACCGGGCTACTTCCTGGTTTTACAGTGAAAAAGTCCTGCCTGGTATGAACACTGAGTGCATGTTGGTTCTTTCATTTAACCTTCTTCCCGCTGTCACCAAATCTGATCAGAGCATTCTGGAGTTTAAATGTTTGAGCAGATGTTTTACTCTAAGTTTTTATCACAAAGGACATTTTAAAGACTCTTAGCACATCACTGAACCTGTTCACAACCTGCAACTGCAAATAAGCTCAATCAGTTTCTATGGTTGCTGATTTTTTTTTTCATATTTTTTATTTTACATAGTATGTTGTAAATATTTAATGAATTCTTTTACATGACTTTAAAACAACTGCATGTTTTAAAGTAACTCTTTAGAATTAGTCAAAAGACAAATATACTGTATATCGAGAACTACTGGCCAGATTTGGATAAAAACTTTTGATTTTAATATTTTCTTAAGGATAAACTTCATATTTTCAGACTCTAAGAGTAGTTAAATAAGTAGTTGTATGTTATGTGTGACACAATAATCTCAACTCAAAGGTCCACTTACTAGCTTTATTCTGAGCTTTCAGTTGCTTCTTAGAATCTTTTTGAGGGTATGAGCAGTTCAGTCATGTGATAACTGATGACTTTGGATGTGAATGTCATCTTTGCTTTTTCTACTACTGGCCACTGACTTGATGACCTTTGGCCTCCCACAAGTCATCGCTGTGACAGGTTCATATTGTATTTGTTGTTCATTCAGCTTTTATGGGACAAAATGGCAGCTTCTGCCTTGAGATGCCAGGATGTTAATCATAATATTCTATTACTGTGATTCTGTGACATGATGACTTGAGAGGAAAACAAAGGAAAAACAACAACAACAAAAATATATACAGTATATGCTGTATATTAATGTGAGGTATCTAAATTGTTTCCTATAATACTTGTATTAACATTAGGACAAAGTACAAATGCAGGTTTCAGTGAACATCAGCATTTTAACAGTGTGGTATTTTCATGAGTAGTGAATGAGTCTGTGCTGTCAGTGTAATTAATTATCTTTCACTGAGCCATTTTCATGTTGTTTTGTTTGGCCGATATAATGTCAAAGAATATGGTGCTGTGGAGAAGTGATTTGCAATGGTGTAGAGACCCTACACTTTACTTTTTATGTATAAATAGTCATACGTTTTCTTATTTAAAAATGTAGTTTTGTTCAAGGACGTGGACCCTTTTACCCCCTACAGAAAGTATGTTCAGGCTATTAGGGCATCCTGCTGAGAGGTTCCTGCTGGTCCCAGTTACACTGTGAGATTCTCACTAACAGATTTAGGCCATGTGGATGAGGCTTGAGTTCACTAAAGAAGGCTATGAGATGTGGTTGAAAGCCCAGAAAAGCACATACATGGACCTTTCAGATGAGCAGGTACTGTATAGAGACTGTTGGCCTGGCATTCTCAAAAAAAAACAGCTTTCCTTGGCACTTTTAGACTTCCATATAATAAAATTAAAATGATCAGGTTGGTCTTTGACAGTTTTGGAAGGATATCTTAGAACCAAGAGGAACCGTAGAAAACACTGTAGAAAACTAGACAAAGTAAAAGACGAGGTGTAAAATTTCCTTGTCCTCTGAAAGGACCATTTCTTGTGATCTCAGTCAATGTCAGCAGCTTAGTCCCTTATCTGCTCTGCCATCACTTAATGAAGGAAAATACAAGGAATTAAAGTGGTGATAGTATCTGATTGGTTGAGTTAGAAAAGCTGTGATTGGTCAGAGGGATGTGGCGGTTCATCAAATGTGTGCGTTATCATTGCATGATTAAAAAAAAAATCCAGGTTATGTTTAAGACTCAAAGTGTTGTGTTGAAATATTTATGTAAACATTTTTCAGGGCTTTCTTTTTTTTCAAGGCCTAGAAAACACACATTTCAATTTTTTTTTTTTTTACCAGGTATCTTATCACCACACTTTATGTATAGGTTCACATTTACTGACAGCCAGTACATGTAAGAGGAACAATTTCACCAACAAGTAGCTCTTGAAATGAGCACATAGGCACAGTATTTCAATAAACCTTTTTTTTAACTGAACTTATCATTTAATGGAAAAAAATACCTGTGGATAGGTAAATAAATGGATAGATAAATTTAACAGCTGCTTTTTTAAATGCAAAAAATATATATCTATTTAATTAGTACAGTACAAACATTTCACCTTAATTTACAGTTTATTTGTCTTATGAAATACATAAAAATATTACATTTACACATAAATACAAAATGTATTTACTTTCAAGCAATCTTCTTCTTCTTTCGGCTGTTCCCGTTAGTTAACTTCATGTCCTCTTTTAGCACATCCATATACTGTATCTCCTCTTTGGCCTTCCTCTTGACCTCTTGCCTGGCAGCTCCATCTCCAACATCCTTCTACCAATATAACCACTATCCCTCCTCTGCACATGTCCAAACCATCTCAATCTGGCCTCTCTGACCTTGTTCCCAAAACAGCCGACCTGAGCTGTCCCTCTGATGTGCTCATTCCTAATCCTGTCCATCCTGGTCACTCCTAAAGAGAACCTCAACATCCTCATCTCTGCTACCTCCATCTCTGCCTCTTGTCTTTTCCTCACTGCTACAGTCTCTAACCCATACAGCATAGCTGGTCTCACTGCTGTCTTGTCCACCTTTCCTTTGATTCTTGCTGCCACTCTTCTGTCACACAACAAGCAATAATGTGTAAAATAAATATTATTTGGTATTTACTGCAAAGTCTACAATGAAAATTTTGTGTTTTCTTCTTATTTTCTAAAAGTATGCCTGAAAAGACATATATTGGATATATTAATAACATAAGCAGAAATATTCAGTTAACCTCTCCATTGGCTGATTAAATAATCAAACAGTGGCTATTTTCTATGGTTTCAAGTGGTCAGTGTTTTCTTGTCTTGCTGCCTCCTCCTGATAACTTGAAGCATCCCAGTCTTCCAATAATGAGAAAACAGGTTTGAGGACATTATGTGAGTGTGTGTATGTGTTTATCAATACAGCGTTTGTTCTCGCGGTACGTAAGTCCACCTGTCTCATCAACATTTAACTGTAAAAAGAGGACAATGTCAGATTAACCACCAGTGAGATCACTGAAAACAAAGCTCTCAACTGAACTTCCTCCCCTGTCTATGATGTCACCATGATGCAATAATATACAGACCAGCTGCTGCTTTTCTACTCGCTCCACTTCCTTATCAGCAATACTGAAGCCTGAGAGTCTTGATACTGGAGCCGAGTTGCAATACTGGAATGAAGCAAACACTTTTTAAGATAAAGCGTTGTTTTTGGTTGACATAAACCTATTTCATTTCAAACTGTTGTAATGCTTTTGTTGAAAGTGAGGTTCTGATTCTGTGTATTTGTGTGTATTCTCTCCTCTACCATCTGATTTAATCACATTTTTTCCAAAATATAAGCTAATTTTCCATTAACTCACATTCACAATAATCAGTTAATCATTGAAGCATTTAAAGGAGTAGTTCACTCAAACAGTTGCACACAGGGCTTCTCTCTGAACCAGGCAAAGTTGTTTTTTTTTAACACATACTCTACGTTCAAGGTGACATAGTTTCGCTTAGTAAAGTTCATTAAGAAAGTTGTTTATGTCAGAAGGTATACATTTAAAATTTAAAATTAGTCTTTCTTCTGTCCCCCCATTAAAGGTATTTTTGGGGAGCTTTCCCTTATCCAACTGCGTTTTAGGGCAGATGGTTGCTTCTGGGGCAAATTTGCAATAATAGGCTATACAACTAGAAACTGACTTTACTCAAAATGAAATTTGATAGAACTTTTTAAAAAAGATATTTATGACACAAACTCCAGATTTTGAAATTCCAAAACAAAACTTGTGACACTAGGGTTAGGTTCTCCTTAGGTACCTGGATCTTGGATAAAACTTTTTATGTCTTCTTTTTACTTTTTATTTGAAAAGGCCAGTGTTGAAAATCTGCAGATACAGTGTTTTTATTCATATCAGGCACTGACTGTTTCTTTCACCAGTTAAAACAATCAAAGACACCAGCAGTAGATTATTTCAGCTTTAGCTAATTAATGTTAATTAAATGTGCTTTTTCCAAGCCACTGACTTTACTCTATCAGAGGTTATTTGTGAGTGAAAAAGACACATCACTCCACAACCATGACTGAACTGAGTTTTTGTATTTCAACACAGTGACAACTCTTCTCTAGAGAAATACACGGAAAATGTATGTGTAGCAAATCAATATTTTGAGCTCTAAGTGCAAAAAAATCTGTATATTCCACCTGTTATTTCAGTGTCAGTAACAATCAACATTCCAAATGTTCTGCTGCTCATGTCATTTCAGGTTGTGGCTGCGAGTTGTGAAAATTATAGCATAATTAATGTTTATTCTCTTTGATTCACTAGCTAAACTGTACTATTTCTGGCTTCTCACCCAGCGACATATGATCACAGAACTAAATTGAATCTTTTACTTACATCTCTTTGTAATGTCAATGAAAAATAAACTTCATTAGACTTGATAAGTTATTTGTAAGTCTTTCAAGTGATAAAAGGATTTCATATTGGATTCACATTAGATAAAACACTGTCAAACCCCAACCCTAGGTCACCGGTTCTACATATTTCAGATTTAACCATCTGAGACTTTGTACGAAACTGAAGAGCAAATGACTTCAGGTTCAGTCAGTTTAACTTAACACCAGTCAAACCTTTCAGAGATTATCTTTAATGGAGACAGGTAAACAGGAGAAACCATTTAGAGTTCAAAATAGACCCTTCCTTTGGATTTCAGCTCAGAACAGCAGCTTTAGTGTACTGAAAACAACACTTCTTGCTTCAGAGAAACTCTGCCCACTTCTTTATGTACAGTATTTATTCTATCCACTTGTTTTTTTATGTTGATTATGATTTTATGATGCAAATATGCAAAGTGAACCTGTCATGTTGAGATTATGCAACATCTTTTCCTTATTTTATTTCTCTAACTTTGTTTTATTTGTTTTCATTAAAAACTGTTGAACATCCTACATTAGTCCTGCCTTATTTTTTGGATGAGAGCCAACAGAGGAGATGTTTGTGGAGATTCAGTTTGTCCAGAAAGTATTATTTACCATTAGTTACTGAGATAACTTTTAAAAAAAATCACTGTTGTTTTTGAGTATAATGCATTACTTATAATGACATAATTAAACTTAATAAAGTACTTTGTTATATTACTGCATTACTAAGGGAAGTCTAACATGTTACAAAATAAATGCATTACTCCCCAACGCTGCTCATGAGACCTTGAAGAATCCCGCATTACCTTTGTCTGCTCTCACCCCTAACCTGGTGCATTTTCCAGTTTAGTGAAAATAATTTGGTGTGAAACTCTGTGTTGGACAAATCAACCTGACAGAGATGCTGCTTTTCAAGCAAATTCGGGTGCAGTATGTTTATAGTCTAAAACGGTCCAACCACAACGTTTTGGGACCGTAGCTTTGGGGCTTTTGGGTCATTTTAAAAGCCAACCAACAATAAAGTCCTTCTATTAATTGCAAACCATTCAGGAAGCAATCATAACTCATCCATATAAACTATCTGTATGTACTGACTGGTGAAAAGTTAAATGAAAATCCTTGCTAAATTAGTGGAATAAAAAAAATGGAAGGGACACTGAATAATTTGATTATTATTTTCTTGACTGTTTGATTTAATGGCCTAATGAGGATGAACGAGTGTGTTGGACACAATGAGGGAATATGTTTTGAAAGAATGAAGTTACCTCCCTCCAACAGAGGAGCACTGAAGCTGCTCTGGAGACATGTCACTAAAGACTCTTGTGTTCTTCACATTTTGCTTTCATTTGTCACCCATCTGTAAATATAATGCCAATCATTTGAAATTGATTTGATGATGCAGGATTAAAGTTGATCAATCTGTTTCCTGTCAGTGTGTGTAACTTATTGTTTACAGTTCTTGGTTTGTGTTTTAAAAGCCAGTGTGATCTTCAATGCACCATAGCTAAAATGCAGCAGTGAGTCATCTTTTCTTTTAATCTGGGACAAATAAATCAAACCACGAGTGAAAACCTTCAAAGATTCGTACGTTATCATATTAACTCTTACCATGTGTCCACTAGAGGGCAGTAAACTTACAACCACATGAAGGCCCATGTTGATTCATGAATGACTGAAGCCTGTTACTCTCCAGCTGGTTTGACTCCCAGAACTCGTGGGCAGTGGACAGTGGGCAAACTGAGATTGTTGGTGCCGAGTTAAATGCCAACAACTGTATGATGTGTTACCATGTACACTGATGCAGACATCCACAGCCTTTGGTAAGTGTTCATCTAGTGCCATCATCAGGTCAGTAACTTGTATAGTGTTAAAAAGGTCAGAAAAAGCAAAAAAACAATATACAAATGGCATAAAAACAATATAACGATCCAAACCCCAGAGATATTTAATGACTCAGACAATCGTTTTTCAAACTAGTGGCAAATATTTATGGCATTTCAATTCTAGATATTTTTCATTTCTGAGTCAAAACCAATATACAGTATAACAAGGGTGATTACAGACCAACTACCAGTGGTGGAAGGTAACTGAGTAGGCCAGCATTCACTCAAGTAGGCTACTGTACTTAGGTACAGTGTTGAAGTATTTGTACTTTTCCCACATTGTCGACTATGGCTACACTACATTCCAGATACAAATATTGTACTTTTTACTTACATTTATTGGATAACTTTGGTTGCTTGCGACTTTCCAGAATAAGATTAACTTTATATGCATGGTGTTACAGCAGCAGACCAGAGCACAACCCAAACATCAGCAGGCCAATATTATCTGCTGACAACGGATAGAAATTAAACATTGCACACCCTGCTGATATCAAGTGCATGTGACGGGTTATTTCTAGTGTCTGTGTAGTTGGGTTGTGGAAGCTGCTGCTTAAATCTACATCCTCACACACTGTTGCAGCAATTCAGATGTGGAAAGTATAAATTTACCTTCAGTATGTGTGTTTTTACTTTTTCAGGTGTTACAACCCCCTCCTTGAACCGCCACCTTATTGTGGTGGAGGGGTTTGAGTACCCGAGTGATCCTAGGAGCTATGTTGTCGGGGGCTATATGTCCCTGGTAGGGTCTCCCAAGGCAAACAGGTCCTGGGTGACGGGTCAGACTAAGAGCAGTTCAAAAGCCCTTCATCTTTCTTGACAGATCGAGCGTTTGCAGAATGTTCATCTGCTTCGTGCCTATCAAGCACAGAAGAAGAACATGTCTGATAAGAATGTACACTGTGGTGGAGCAGGTGAAAAGCTTCTGTACCATGGCACAGCCAAGAACAACTGCATCCCTATCATGAAAAATGGGTTCAACAGGAGCTTTGCTGGATGCAATGGTAATGATCTTTTTGTGCGATTCACAACAAACAAACATAATTTTACTTGTACATGCAGTTTCAAGTATAATCTATAAGATTCCTTAAAGTTGAGAACAGTTTTAGTAAAAAGTAATTATTGCTTCAGCAGCAGTATATTAACACTGATCTAAAGCAACAAGTGCCTATATTTTTCCATATTTTGAACAAGTGGTTATTTTACTTCCATAAAATGTTTTAATTCTTATGCAGCAGAATATCATTGAAAAAGGGACCCGTTTAGAGAACTGATAGCCTATTTACAGTTAAAATTACATTACTCTGAAAAGGGAAAATACAGTATGTTCTATAGTTCTAATCTATTTCTTTTTGTAATTAATCTAGTTCCACAAGCCTTAGTTCCTCATTTCTTCCTGTTCTCAGGAACTTCATATGGTAATGGAACCTATTTCGCCGTAAACGCCAGCTTGTCAGTCGGTTACTCCAGTCCAGCTCATGATGGTTCTCGGTCAATGTTCGTGGTCCGAGTCCTGACTGGTGTCTACGATGCAGGCCACAAAAGCATGAAGGTGCCTCCTCCTCGCAGTTACCAGCAGCCCCATGACCTCTATGACAGTGTGGTGGACCAAATACACCAACCAGACCTATACGTTGTGTTTCAAGATAATCAAGCCTACCCGGACTACCTCATCACCTTCAGGTGAAGTGATGTATTTTCCACTGTGCAAAGGCCACAAGTGTAGGAAAATACAGTCGTAGTCTTAGGAATAATATAAAATAGTTATGTTTTAATGCAAGTCTGGGGAGTAACTAGTTACATGTATCAAGTCACTGTAATTAAATTGGAAAATAAATGTAATTGTAATCTCTTAGTTACTGAGAAAATATATGTAATTCATTTACAATTACTATGTTTTCAGAAACCAAAAAAAGAGAGAGATTTTTCATTTCAAAATGGCTCACCCTAGTTTTGCATTGATGTCTCTTTTGCAGCTAGGAAGATGGACACCTTATTTCACTACAGCATGTGAACACAACTTGTCCTGTGCCTTAGCCTGTTCACTACTAACACCAGTTTACAAGCTAGTTAGCCAATTAGCTACTCAGCTGCAGTGCATTAAACAGATGGTAAACTTTCTTGCAAATGTTACTTTAGTCTGTTTGATGCTGATGTAGTCTTTATTTTTAAATACCACTAACACTACTGTCCATTACATGCACAGTAGGTTGCAGAGCAAGTCTGTTTACCAGCAGAGGTGAGCCTGTCAGGTACTGTCATTCAAACAGCTCAGCCAAAAGAGCATTTTTCACAACAATCTTTTCTTTTTCTTTCTTTCTGAACTAAAGAATATATTAATTATTCCTGGGCTGCTTTATCTCGGATACCAGCGAGTTAAAACCTCTAGAATAGAGGTCATACTTTCATTTATTAAATTACATAATTTATGGTTTTTGTTGTTTCACAATGAATTTTCTTCAAAAACAAATCATCTGATTAGGAGCTGTTCTGGAAGTTTGAATGTGTTTGAATCCATATAAAGTGTTGTATCATTGATGGGGTCACTGTAAAGTTTTAGATTTTGTTGATGGTAAAATAAAGAGGTTTAAATGACAACCAGTTATCAGAACTGACTCCTATACCCAAACTTATAGAGAACATATTGTCAGAAAATTATGAAGTATTATTATTTAGTTGATATTTCAATTGGTACAGGGAAATTAATATAAAGAAATAGATTTTATATTTCACAAAAACAGGCAGAAAAAGATTTACCCCTTGACACTCCTTGATTCTCAAAAGAATTGTTGACTTTCGCATAGTGAGAGACTGAATCTAATGACTACATGTAATATAAATGTGGTCACTAATAAGGACAGAAAATCCTGCTGCTACTGTAACAGTCAATTAAAAGAGTGACTTTTCTTAGAAAAACAGATAATATGTTCCAAAGACATATTCCTGTGAATTATTTACCACATTATTGCTGTTGCTAAGGGTGGGGTAGCACCCTTAGAGATAGGGTGAGGAGCTCGGTCACCTGGGAGGAGCTCAGAGTAGAACCGCTGCTCCTCCACATCGAGAGGAGCCAGCTGAGGTGGCTCGGGCATGTGTTTCAGATGCCTCCTGGGCGCCTTCCTAGGAAGGTGTTCCGGGCATGTCCCACCGGGAGGAGGCCCCGGGGAAGACCCAGGACACGCTGGAGGGACTATGTCTCTCGGCTGGCCTGGGAACGCCGCGGCATTCCCCCGGAGGAGCTGGAGGAAGTGTCTGGAGAGAGGGAGGTCTGGGCATCTTTGCTTAGACTGCTGCCCCCGCGACCCAGTCCCGGATAAGCGGAAGAAAATGGATGGATGGATGGAGGTGTTACAACAGGAGTTTGTAGAGGTGGAGTCTCTGGATGAAGTTGACTCTTCAGGGAAAACTCTGCTGGACAGACTTGCCATGCCTGTTATCTTCTCTGATGGGTACACGTACATGCACACACCTGTTTTTGTCAATTTATTGGCATACATTATTTCCTGAGACACCTATCCTCATCTAACTATAACCAATCGTATCCTTAAATCTGCATTAACTGTATCTTTTTGGCCATCTGGGGGCAGCAGGAACAAATAGTGGTAACAACCTTGACATATTAGCACCCTTTTAAGCTGATATACTGAACTTGATAGCAAACAGTTATGGACAAACTGAATCTCCACTAACATCTCATCTGTTGGCTCTCATCTTACAGGTACAGAACCACATTGTCATTATCATCTCAGAGAGACTAAAACATAGAGAATTCAGTGAGGCATGACCAGTCATGAAGAGAAGGCCAAACACTTCAGCCATACCAAGGGACACCTTTTGATACTAGTGAGGTGTAAGAGGCTCAACTGAATAATTAGCCACAGTAGCTCATTGTTTTCAAAGGAAGTTTACTAAAGAACACTATTTTCACCACACCCACAGTGACTTACACATGGAAATATAATTTACTATTATAATTACATAGAATACATAATTAGGCAATGCCTTACTTGTATGCTGACTTATTTACACATACCAAAATGTTATACACAGCAAATCGTGAACTCAACAGCATTCTGCTAATATAGAACAATTACCACTAGAAGACAGCTGCACAGCATTCCCTACGTATGCCTTCCCCTATAATATTTCAAATGACTGTCAATTATTTTAAGATAGTAACACTAACTCTTCATTGATGTACATATTTATATGTCCACGGGTTTTACAAATAGAGTTCCAGGTAAGTTATGTGACCAGCTTAATGAAAGAACATTTTCTATCACCTTCCAAGAGCCTGAGTGGAAGTCCAGATGTGGCACTGATGTCAAAAGCAGCGCCACAGAGCTAAGTTCTTGGATGAGGTGATGGAAGTCTGAGGTGCAGGTCATCGCCGTGTCTCCTTGTCCAAAAGGTCTTTGGCCTCGTTGATCTTAGCAGCGAGATATGGTGACCCACCTGCACACACAAGTTTTATTAAGGTTGTGATCAATCCTCTTTCCTTTTTCAGTCCAAAAATGTATTTTCAGATTTCTATCACAGCTTGCTATGTTGTTTTTCCAAAACATAATAAAGATGTGCTATATTTCATGAGAAGGATTCAGAGGTTAAGCTTACCCTTATCTGGATGGTTCAAGACCATGATTCTCCGATGGGCCTCACTCACTTTGGACTTAGTGCTGGCTGGGCTGGACATAAAACAAATGACACCTCTATATGATCAATAATAAGACAGTGTCGGACAATACACTTAATGCATGTTAAAAGATGAAACTTGGAAGAATTATTTTCTACAACACAATCTGTTACCTGATTCCAAGAATGAGGCTGGCCTCTCGTCTGGACATCGTCTGCTCAAAACCACCTTTGTAATATGACGAGAAAGCCTAAGGGGACAGAAGCATTAGAGCTTTGACCGTTAATAGTCTGAACCTATGTAGATCATATGGGCTACATTTTGTTTGTTAACTTGTCATTTGTTCATCAACAATCACAAAATGTGAAACAGGATTTTCTCTGTGTATGTGACTACAGTATCTTTCTGACCCATCTACAACTGGTATGAAAAAGATAAACCCTGAGCACAAAAGCTTAGCAAGGATGAACATAGGAGTTGCAGACAACAGCTGAGTGCTTTGAGTAAGACCCCCAAGACCTTTAGTACACCAACACAAATAAGGTGAGCATGATGATTCATTAACCTGTTTTATATTCTGAAGGTTTACATATTGTCAAAGGCTCAAGATCTGGACTGACTTTACAATGATAAGTAGAAAAGACGTGCAGGCAAACAACCCATATATCAAATAACTGAAGACAAGACTTTACAACAGCTTTTTCCCTGCTGCATTAAGACTGATGGCAAATGCGAAAATGTGAGAATATACAGTATGTGCATTAATCCCTTACTAGACATCTGCAGTAACCCCCCACTACCTCACCAAGCGTAATGACATATCCAACTCCACCATGTGAATCACTAAGTGCAGTGTTTGAAGTTCACTGTGGGAAATACTATTACTCTATTTTTATGTATTGTGATTTTAATACTTTGTTGCCTTTATGTAACATTTTTTTATTTTAAGACTAAGTGTTCTTTCTGGCTTTTGACTCCTTACCTGACTCCAAAGGAGAGCTGCACAAGAATGTCTATATGCCTAGACTGTCTGTTTATGCATAAATGGCAAATAAAAATTTTGAATCTTGAAAAGTGAGGTGTAAAATTGAATGAACTACTCACTGATGTGGGCATCTTCTTGACAGTTTCCGAGAAGACTTGTCCAAGAGGCTTCCACAACTGGAATGCATAATGGCCTGTGGATCAAACAAATGTCTAAATGGAAAGGGATCTCCAAAGAACAAAGCAGATATCTGTAAAGAAAACTTGTCTTACCAAAGAGAGTCAATGCTAATAATAATGGGAAAGTAACATCTTTAACAATATGAGTGATGGTAAACAAAGTGTAATAGATTTCTGTACATCCAGATAACATCATCTTCTATCACGTCATTGATACTAGTGTTGTATCAAACTTCTCTTACCTGCAAAACCTGCAGCAGCCACACCAAGACCAACAGCAATCAGAGTCCCTCCCTATCACCAAAACAAAACATTCATCTGTATAATGTAGAATTACAATCCTTGATCAATTTATGAGCTCTCCAGCTACAACTAATTACTATCATTATTGATCATTTTCTGCAATAGTCGATTTGATCTTTAAAACGTCACACAATGGCAAAAATGTCCATCACAGTGTCATGGACCTCAAGGTAGTTTTAAAATTAAACAGCTCTTCAATCAGCAGTCCAACACACAAACACATCCCCAGTGTTATTATATAAAACAGTGTAAAAACAAATAGAGTGGGAAAATTGATTTAGGAAATAATCGATAGATATTTAGTTATGACAATTCAAAATCAAGCATCTCTTATATAATTATGAAAACAATCGATTGATCCACTATCTGATCGTTTGGTCAGAATGATAATCTAAGTTAGATGATGTTGTTGTTAGCCTATAATTAAATTTAAAACATGTATGCACGCGTATATATGTGGCAGTGACAGACGTTGCGCCAATGACAGCGGTCATTGACGTCAGCCAAAACTCAAACTATAGAACGTTTAAAAAAAAAAGCAAACAAACAGAAAAACTCTTGCTTTATTGTTTAAACGAATACTTACCAGCCGTCTGTCTATTTCTGCATCACTCCGAACGTTTGATTTTGGAGTGTATTCCGCATATCGCATCATATCTCCTCCATCGACTCCAGTCACTCCACCGGTATTCGCCATATTGCCTCTTCCTTTTCCGCCTCTTCCTCTTTCGCCTCTTCTTCTTCTGCTGCTGCTATTTTTAATGGCGGTTGGCAACCAGCTTTAGGTGCATTACCGCCACCTTCCAGACTGGAGTGTGGATCAGACCGGCCCCTACCTACCACCACACCAAAATAATCCAACTCAGTTCACCTTATATTATCTTGTGTAACCCTGTGCTCTCTAAAAACCTAATAAGTGCTCTGTATCCTATATCCCCTGACCTTTCTTACCTCGACTTTGTGAACACATCCGTTTATAACTTTCAAAATAAAACGGAAGCCCTACAGTCACTTCTTGTCCTGTACCCAGCACACATGTTCAGCACCTCTCTGCTGAAAAGATGAGCTGATACTGTACGAGGGTTTGTAATCTTAAATAAATACCACTTACTTTTTGGAGTTGAACTGTGATCTTAAAACTGCTCTAATCCATTTTTATATTGATGTCATCCTCCACCCAAAAGGTATTTTGGTCAGTATTACTTCTCTTGATTATTTGAGCATAATGCTTGACATTAGAAGGCAGTTGTTAAATTTTACCTGTTGAAAGGGAAAGCTGCTTGTTGCTCACTGAGGCTGGATTTTTAACGTGGATCATTTTTGTAACAGCCTAGCATTATATTGACCTTTTTTTGTCAGGGCCCAGACTAAGAGTGACATAGAGTGTGTGGTCTTCCATGGTCAACGTGTATTGCACTGAGATTTGGAAAATATGGAAACTGTAGAAAAGACCGCCGTTTGTTGAGCTATTCAAAAAGTGTACAGTTCCTCTATGTTTTTCATAGTCTCCCTTTTTCTATGTACATTAAAAACAAATGGATCTGAATCTTATTAGACCTGTTAGAGTTGTTCTCCAAAGCTTTGGAATATGTATCAGTTTACGAGAATCTACAATAGGCCTATGCAGAAAGAATTCGCTTTGTTTTAGCCATGGCACAAGGTTCTGTATCGCCTCATGTGTAAGTAAACCTGTAGAGCAGTCCTCGTTAGTATAGTGGGCAGTATCTCTGCCTGCCACGAGAAAAACTATGGTTCCGACGGGGGAGTTCAGTTGTGCATTCTCTTGTCAAATTCCTTGTGTGTGTATAACATACATGGTCAACAAAAGTGATTATTATAATCATTTATCTAATAATTTATTAATTAGGCTGCCCTAAAGTAAATACAGCAATAACTTCGGCTGCATGTTGTGGAAAAATGATCTATTTTACTTGATGAGTGTAAAATAAAGACTTAACATCAAATCTGAAAGTTATTGTACATTTATTTTCTGCAGAAAAGGAGCAATCTCTACACAGAATGTCAAGGCAGTCTGAGGGGAGAAGCTCAAATGGAGAGAATGTGGCTTCCCTTCTTATACACAGCATACTATGACAGAAAACAGTTACTCAAACAGGTAAGTCAAACGAGATAATATTTACCAGTTCTCAGTGCTCAGGATACATCTGGTTTTTATCTCTCAGAAGGACATGCAAAGGTTTACGACCATGGGATATAAATCTAGTAATGGATTACAAGGTAAATAACCACTAAAAGGGTACTATCATAAAAATGCCACTACACTGCACCAGCTACAATGATGCATCAATGTTGATAAATCCTGCAATGGAACACAGACTAATGCAGCAATACACCACAGCAAGAGGTACGAGTTTATTCAAATTCCATTTAATTATGTTATCATACATGGTTCAGATGATGTACATGTAAACACACATGATGATGTGTTTCATTAAAACGTTTATTTTGATACACATATATAATGACAAGCAATTTATAATTTGAAAAAAAAAAACTTGATCAGAGTCCTCAACATTCTTCTGCATTTCGGAGAAGCTGTTTTTCCGTTTCGGAAAAACGTTGTT